GTATTTAATTATATTGCTACTTATGTATATACATTACATTACATCTGCTGATGAAGGCCATGAGATGCTGCTTACAGCTCCCAAATGAAGTCTAGTGAACCAAACAAAAGCAAACAAAACCTGACCTTTAAGCTCCACGTGGCATGAATTTTGAACACATATTTAAACCTGCGAGTGATTTGCACATGTATATAAATAGTTTATGTTTTAAAACACTATCAGTTTGTTTTATATGGAATCATATATTGGCAAATATGATTACAGCACTGTTATGTTTTCAATTATTAACTGTGGTTAACAAATATATTATAAACTCTTTAAAAGGGCCTTATATTGGATACAACCACATTATAGTGTTAATAAACAATGTATCTATTGATTATAACTGCTAAACAGGGGGGGTTACTAAAATATATTCACATAATCAGAAGTAAATTACATAATGTTATCAAGAACTGCGCCGATGGTTGACAATGTGAAGAAAATCTGCAGCAGCATGTTTTCCTTTACAATTTCATCCATAGATCATCTTCACACTGTCCATTTATTTGATGCATTGCTTCATAACCTTTGAATGAAACAAATCTCAATTGCCTGTGTATGGTGTCGAGTGTCGGGCCATTTAATTGGTAAAGTAGGATCATGCAGCTTAATTAGCATGCCGTGTTAACTCTGCTGCTGTCTCACCAAAACAGCTGTGACAGAATCAATCTGAGTTGGGGCGAATCACTTGGGAGTGCAGCTGATCAATAGGCCAATAGGAAGTTGTCCTGTGTTGAAAGTAGACAGCTGCAGTATAGTTAAATTAAGACTTAAAAGAGAAAAAACATATATTTTTAATCATACTATAGACAGATGAATAAATTGATTTGTGGAGAGTTTAATCAGAGTGTAGTCGGGCGTCATAAAAACTCCTCTTAAAGCAAATTAAAGTGTTGAGGCCACGCTTGTGAGCCCGACACATTTCGTACAGTGGTGGCAGGTTTTCACAAAGCTTCAAACGTGCAGGTAACTTCACACCACTTCACTGAATTCATTGACAATTCAACCTCTGAGGAGACCAACCCTGATATCTCACCAGGGACCATCACAAAGGCCTGCGGTTTCTGGATTCTGACGGCATCTTGATACCAGCTGCCATGAACCGCTGCACCTCATTGTGAAATCTACCTCTTTTCACCCCAGTTATGTGTGTAAATACTGCCGACAGGCTTCCTGTTGCCTTGAATACTGAGTATGTCAAAGTGCCGCTACCCAGGGAAAACGGGGTTGTCTGAGGGAACATTTGTAGAATAAAAACTCGCGTCATGCCTGTCAGAACTGCCTTTTGTTTTTATAGTCAGGCTAAGGCCTGCCTCTCTGCATGAGATCTTACACTAGTCCATGTTAAAAGAGTGTGCTGAAGATGGTAATTTCTTCTACAGGCAGGGAACTAAAAACGTGGAATCTAAATAGATTCAGCTCTTTTCATGTGGAAGGGCATGCGAGAGCATTAAGAACAGATGCGGTCTAGATGCTATTAACATAAAAGAAAGAAAAGAATCAACAGAGAAAGTGTGCATTAACTCATCAGTGCCACACTTTTCATTGGAAGAAGGATTGCACTTAGCTTTTGCATCTTTTTAAACTGCAGCATGGAAAGTCACGATTTTCTTGTTGGAAGCATTTTTACCCACTGTCTCTTTCCTTCAAGCTGGTCTTGGATAAGCCACATGCAAGGCATTACCGCACTGTAAACAAATCACGACACGGGGAAACCAAATCATCTGCCCACTTTTTGAATTTCGGCCCTTCTAAAATCTTTCTGCCAGCTCGGAGGTGACCTATTTTCTAAGTGAAACATTCGTCAACAGTGGCACACTGGGGGATGCTTTGCCTGTGTCCTGGGAGTATGCGTACTGTAGCTAATATGCATGTGGGGTTGGCGGGAAGTCAGGCATGTGCAATTTTTTGAGTGACGACCAAAAATGTATATCTGTATATATCCGCCCAATGGGTGCTTGTACCCTGGATTTAGCAGATTTCCACAGCATGCTTAATGACTCTACTGGTTGTTCAAATGGAAAAGGTAATTGCAGTCTTTTGTATCCAAACGCTTGGGTGTGTGTAATTTCTATCACACAATTCCCTCAGGGTGTTGCCAAATGACATCTCTCCTGCTTGCCAGATAGAAGTATAAAGTAATCATTCAATTCAAATACACATTCAAAAAATGACGCTGGCAATTTTAATGAAGCAACAGTAACCGGACATAGCAGGAGTCGGTGGAATAGCTTCCACAGGTGGCCACTGGCTGTTACATGGCTTTTAAGGCAGCGAGATGGAAAAATACATGTTGTTCCGTTTGAGATTTGCTCATGTGTGATGCCAACCAGAGCAGAATATTGTACCAAAGCCATAACTCTCCTATGTTCTTTCTCAGACACTCCCAGATACACACTCCTCTCTCTGACCCGGGCCTTGTATTATACCTTTCTGTATGACATCATCTAGATGTGCTGTGTTTGACGACGGACACGAAGCCCACAGAGGCTTCCCCCAAATGCCAAATTGTCTCGTTTCATATCATATCCAACAGCTCGTGCACCGTAGGACTGAATACATTTAGTGAAATGTCATACAGCTCCAACTACAATAGTACTAAGGGCATATTACATTTATAAACCCCGTCATGATACTAGATGAAGATGCTGTACACACAATGAGCTCCATAATCGCATTCCCTCCAATGTCAGTGCAGTGTAGTAGCATCAGACATCTTGGATAAAGAAGGGATGCATTATATTCCAGCAGGGAAGGAGAAGATGGGGGGGGGGTAAGCTGAGAGCAGATTTATCCACAATAGGCAGATGGGGAGTTAGAATCTAAGCTTCCACGGTGGTCTCCTGCTCCGGTCCATATTGGATGGTTGACGCAAAGGTGCAGTAATGAACATAATGATGAGCAACAAACCGGTGGGAGGATGAACGACAACACACACTCAATGCTATATGACAAAATACACACATTTCTATACTTGTTGGGACATGACTTAAATTCATGTCCAAACTGTTGCCAAATATCCTTCAACCAGCAATTTTTTTTTTCAATTCAACCTTAAGTGAACACTCAATATTAAATGGCCTGTTGAACTGAGGTTTTTATTTATTTGTCTGGCAATGACGACCACTTTGCGTCCACTTGCAAAAAAATGCAGGCACACGGACACGCTGTATACTCTCACACTGACGGAGTGAAAAGACGAAGAGCAAGAGACAGTTAAACGTCCTGAATTAAAGAGACGATAAAATTATAGAGCTCTCCGCTTCACACACCTTGGGATAAAACAAAGCCAGTCATTGGCGGAAAATAAGATCTGAAACATTTAAAAAAAGGACTGTTGCTATCTTCCCTGCTCCACCACTCGGGCGTTCAAGGCCGCCACTAATGACAGTGTAAAAGGAATGGACAGAATGAATCATTTAGATTCTGAAATTAAATTTAGAATAGCCTATATCAAATATTAACTCCACTAAATTCATTTTGCTCTTCTGTTCCCGGGTCCTCGTCTAAGGATCAGATATTGACAGCTCAGCTGAGTAACAATGATGGAAACCTCATGAGGCAATGAAATACTCATGATGTCATCTTTATTTCCATTTTAAACAGTTAGCATGTGCAATCAAAGTTATAGCCTGGTCACAAACTGGGCATAACCCCCAATGACTGCATGATTATGGATTTGTTTAATGGAGTCCTGTAGATGGCGCCAAACCACCCACTGGTGCTCCAATAGTCACTTCCCCCACTGATCCCCAGCTGCCTATAAAGATGGGGCCCTCTAAGGACAGTGTCTCTGCTTCTGATAGTATTTCTTTTCTATTACAACTTGACATACGGATTTTAAAACTTGATTCAAAGGAAAATTCAGCACTTGGTAGAAGATAAATTACTTGTCAAGACAAGGTTACAGTTTTGAGGAGAAACTGATCGGATTCTGGACTCAGTCGAGCAGTCTACTTAAACTTGAGATACAAAATACCAGAAAACAATATAGATATGTCACTTTTTTTAGTGTATGGTGGATATAAATCACAACTACATTATTTGACATCACAAGGACACCTAATTTGGAGATGAATCAAAACCGTGTGCTTGATCCAGACTCAAACTGTGGCTCTTGACATTCCTCCCCATTTGTCCCAAAAGTATAACATTTGCTTCTGCACTGAGGTAAATATGCTAATTAAAACCATTTAATTTAAATGGTGTTGCTAGGAAACAGCTATAGTCCAACTTTTAGAAGTGTGCCAGCATTGATATTACCAAACACTTCAACAGGAAATACAATAAAGTGGAGCCATTTATATAATATAGTGTTTATATTGCTTTGAAATGGTCTGTCTGAGCATTAGTCAGCACTGCACTTTGAGGACAATGGTGAGGTGAAAGCTGTGGTCAGAACGGTTAGAATACACGTTTTTAATTGGGGTATTTCTAGTAATTAAATATGACAAAATTAAATATATTGAAATGGAATTCTCTCATTTCGCAGGAGCCCCCTGGAAACTGCCAGCAGGACCCCTGAGGGCACACTGGGACCCCATTTGGGAACCACTTAGCCGTACTTTTAAAAAACTTAAAAAGTTATGTATTGCTAAAAAGTTGCCAAAAACATGTAGGCCTGTGGCAGCAGCAGCAGCAGCAATGTGTGTGTATGTGTGGGTGTGTGGGTGTGCTTTGGGTGGATAACATAGACATCTCACTGTTTCAGGCCAAAGAAATCTGATGTAGCAGATGAATGCTACATGACAGACAGCATCTCATCCTGCCTGTCTGATAAAGGGAGCATGGTGGAACATGAGCAGACAGGAGTATAGACTGTGGCGTCGTGGTGTTGATTGCAAAGGTCTGTCAAAGCTGGATCTCCTGAATTCCAATGGTCCCATCTCCCCGCCTCTCTCTCCCCCCTCTCTCCCTCTCTCTCTCTCTCTCTCTCCCAGCATCCAGCAGCTGCGCCTCTCATGCCTTTCCTGACGCTGAGCGAAGCCTCCCATACAGATGAGCGCTGGAAGCCACGCACCTCTTGACGTAGCCACAGACCGGTTGCGGTGCCACTCGGTCTCCGTAGCACGTATTGCGCAACGTGACTGATGCTCAACTGGCTCCACGGCGGGCACATCCGGCTCCTACCGTCGCGTGAATTCATTAGAAAAAGTGGTCTCATAACGCTTGAGACAACAGCAGGCGATCGCCGAGGAGTTCTGGAGAAGCCATCCGCCAGCTCCTCACCCAACTGCACCCTCCCCTTGTCATTGCCACCGGGAGAGATGAGTCGAGCGCGCGGCGTCGGTGTGCAGTCGTGATGTGACTGTGTGAGCGCACGAGCCTCCGCGGCGGCAGTTTGACGACTTTACAGCCCCCCCCCCTCTCCCCCCGAGAAGGTTAAAAAAAACAGTGAGAATTTCACAGTGTGAGTGGGGTTTATTTTTTGTGTTTGTGTTTGTGTCTGAAGCAGAGGTGATGGCTCCGTTTGACAGCATGCAGTCAACGCAGCGGCAGCAGCAGCATCCGCGGAGCCAGCCCTGACCACAGCTGGATTTTGAGGAGCTATGTCCGCGGGTACCAAGCCTCCGTCTGCCTGTAGTCGACAGCTCCAGTGTCCCCCGTCGGTGCGGTGCCTCGGGGGTCTTTGCTAAAGTCCAGGGACACGCGGTACCAGTGGAGCGCACCCACCTGGAGTCGAGGAGAGGTTGTTTGTTATAAGGCCGGGGCTCTCTGCAGCCCACTCCTCGCGCCCGCCCGCTCGCCCGCCCGCTCCCCCTGCATCCTCCGCGCGGCGTCTCCGTGCCGCGAGCGTTTTTTCGCTACATGGCAACGGACATCAAAACCGTCACTACCTGACCGCCTGTTTGCCTGCTGCGGGTCCATACATACCTTTACAGCGAATACTGAGACTAAAATTGAATCGACTTGTGGATCGGAGCGGTGCTGTGTCTATGCACCTCAGTTACACCGCCCCGGAAAGGACTTCTTGCCATTGAGAGCTGGATATGCAGAGATTAACGTGAAAGGATGGATCTAATTATCTGTGTTTTGGGGCTTCTGGCGCTGATCGTGGAGGGCATCCGTTGCCAAGGAGTGTACGGTGAGTGTATGCAATTTGCTTCCTGTTGAAACCAAATGTGATCATGACCTTGTAAAACAGTGGTCGCACACAAATCGCCACTTATTCCCTTTTAGACGTACAGGGTACCGTGGAGAAAAAAAAAAGAAAAGAAAAAGAAAGCGTGTATGGGTGACAAACCAGGTCTGAATGTCATGTTTGAGTGAGAGGCTCCAAATGTTATCACCAACCCTGAGGTTATACAGCAAATCGCATGTGTAGCCAATCATGCACAGCCCCCCATTTCTCATCCAATCCATCACTCATGATGGTCGGTGAGCAGGCTAAATTTAGTATTGTGCAGTCATAGATTATTACAGTGGAACCTGCTAGAGTTGATCTTGGAGCCTGTCGCCTCTCAGACTGGTCACCTACATACATGTAATTTGTTCATTATGATTCAAAAGGTCGACGTGGCAAATGTCTTACATTAGGCCAAATGTATTTTTGAATGTCACCATAAGGACTGTAATGTGTGTGTCTGAGCAGTGGCATTTAATATACGCACAGTCATGAATTATTATCATGTGTGGTGGATCTATCTTCCTACCTCTCCCTTCTGTCTGTCTGGATCTCTCTCTGTCTCTCCCTCCCATGCACACACTCATACACTTAACAATGAGCACACATTTCTGTCTCTTACCCTGTCTGCTTGTGCAACCAGTGGCACAGATGATGTCTCATATGAATCGTCATCCTCGCAGCAGCGGCGGCAGCAGCGGCTGCAGCGACAGCAGCACTGTGGGGAAATAATGATTCATGTGCACTAACATTGGGACACAGAGGAAACCTTGAGGTGCACAGCCCTGACCTGTCGGCAGGGACAGCGGCTCTGACCAAAGCGGTTGTGCGGTGTGAATGTGAGGTCAAGTAGAGATGTGGGATGGTGTGTTTCAGAGGCCGTTGCCAAGCACTAAAAAAGATCTTTTGTCGCCAGGGTGTGTGCGTGTGCGTGTGTGTGTGTGTGTGTGTGTGCAGAGATGATGTAGCAATGAAAGGTTACTGTGAGCATGACAGGAACAGCCATGGTGCTGCACCTGACCAATGATGCGCCAAGATTTTATCTATTCTTTTGCTCTAGAGGGAGGAGGGTGAATAAGATAATAAATCACAGCACGTCAAGGCAGCTGTAGCATGACTGCTCATATATGTGCACAGTTGAGCTCATATTACCACATTCTCCCTCAAGCACCTGTTGCAGAGATATCGCTGTGTTACATACACTTACCAATTTTTTACCAAATCTTCCAACCTCTAAGCACTCTCCAGGCAGCGTAAGATTAGTACTAGGCGTTGTTGTTTGGAGTTCCTACAGTTATGCGTGAAGCCTGAGGGCATCACCTCTCATCAAACATTGATGTATAAAGAAATCACTGTCAATATCCTTATCTAGTAAATTGGTCTCTCCAAGATGCTCACATATTCAGAGGAGACGGGCATGACGCTAACCATCAGAACCGATCATATGAATGTCAGATCAAAGCTACGGATTCTTGGTGTGAGCAAGCTGTCCCTGCTACAGCCTGTGTGTGCAGATGAAGATGCAAGCTCATTAGAAGGAATCATATCCCATAATGCTCGACGTGGTGTTTCCATTGTGGTGTGTGTGGACTAGAAGGCTTATAGCAGTGGCGGCGGCGGCAGAAGAGACAGGGCGATGTAGCAGATGGAATTGTTTGTGGATTTATCTGTCTTGTGTTTGTGCTTGTATGTTGTGCAGTCTGAAAATTCCCTTGAGCACATCCCCCCCCCACACACACACCACTACGGTGTTTTACCTGTTCTACAATAAGTGTGTAATATGTCCTGCTTTCTTGCTCCAGAACAGGAGAAAAGGCTTATATAAATAGATAGATATAATAGAGAATAATAGAGGTAGACGTTTATGCACTCAAACTTGTATATCACATAACTTTAAGTCGTGAGGAGCCACTGGCCTGCATACGCCTCATGTTTAAAGCATACTGCACATCTCAAGGGAGTTGGTCTGAATGAAGATGTACTGGCGAGATTCAAAAGTCAACATTTATCATTGATAGTGTCAAAACATTAGCATGCACTTTGTGTTTCCTCCCGTTGTATGCACCAAAGGTTTTGACACGTGAAGGAGTGTGTGTGGGTTTTATAGAGGACAAGGCCTGAATTCTTTGCTCTGGTCTTATCTATCATGTATCGTATTTTTTTTTTTTATCGCTGGATTCCATCATCTTTTGTGTTGCGTCCGAAGCATCGGCTAGCACTTTCCTTCCCAGATTTCCAAATTGACCAAAGAGCAGATTAATGGGACGGTTTGCGAAAATGAGACTTTCGACGATTATTTTCATCCCCGAGCATCGGTGTACGTCATCGGCGCCGACTAAATGGTAGAATCATGATGTAGTAATGAAGAAATCACATACTAGTGCGTTAAGTGGTGCTGCCAGAGTCATTAAAGAGGATTGATGAAGGCTAGTCATCCCTCCATGACTCCAGGCCACAGAGGGAAAAAAGGAGACACCACTAAAGTACGACATCTGCTCCACTCTTTCTCTGTCCTGCTCTCCTTATCTTTTCCTCTTCTTTTTTCCCCCCTCTTCCCCTTCCCTTGGAGTGTGTCTCTCTTTTCTCGTTGGTTTTACCCCACACACACACCCTTCTCCAGGAGATTGCTCTATTATCTCGACCTCTGCTCATCTCCGTGTTGCTCTCCACAGCTCCAATAGGCCAGCAGCTGCTCTTCCATACCGGCAAATGGACCTAGAAGCTACAAACCTGCTAAATATTCTCATTGGCATTTACATTGCTAAAAACTAAACTGCACTAATAGAACATGACTCTTACAATGGCATGGAAGTGTTTTTCTGCATGTTACTTTATCTGGAGATGTACCGCCTTCAGTATGTTCTCTTTGCATCAAAGTCACTCAGCGACAACCTCCATGGGATGTGCAGATGTTCCTGATCTCGTTTTGTGTTGTGCTACTGAAGAGAAAAAGTTCCCTACTGCTTTTTCTCCCATCCCACTTCTCCCTCTCTCTCTCTCTTTCTGTCTCTCGCTCCCTCTCGTTTGCATTGAAGTCCAACCAATTGCTGGAGTTTCTTTTCATGAGCCCCGGTTCAGACGCTTTGGCTTCTAAGCTATGCAAATGCATTCTGCCAGTGAAACTAAAGCCGTCTTTGTTGGTTCTCAGAGGCCTCCTCCACAGAGTCCTTCATCATTCCCTTGGATCGGGACCCTCACATTTCCCACCGTAATGAGACCACGGATAACTCTATCTCTTCGGCTGCCCTCCCACTCACAGTCCCTATACCCATGCCTGTCTCTCTCCTCCACCTGTCTCTCCCTCCATTACCCTCGGGGGAACAGAACAGCGGATGGACGTCTACAGTATATGTGCTTCAATCAGAGGCAAATGAGGATATACAGCTGGGTACAGCACAGAGGAAGTAATTCGTTGCAGTAGAACAGCGTGAGGTGCGCGTTGGGGATTACTATGTACCCCTGGGTGGGGCTTCAGATAGCACCAACTTAATCATACTGAATGTCAGTTCTCTTTGGGCCGAGTCCTCTGAGACTGGCAGTGAATATACACTGCAGAGACAATGTTTGAACTTAAACTGAAGCACTCCTGCTGTGCTCACTGTTCAACAGATAATCTTTTACAGTGTTATATTAATACTCCAATACAGTGTGATTAAGGTGAAACAGCTGTTCAGAGTGTGGTGAATTTTGAAAACCACACGTCCGATTCTCTCCAAGTTCAAATTGAAGGGGTACTCCACCTATTTAGTATGGCCCATCCATAAGTTATGGGGACTTGTGAGAGACATATTTAAGAAAAATTGCAAAACTTGAAGCAACAGAGGCCTGGATATCCTGACTTTTAGTCCCTAGATTGGCTCTAGATTCAAAAACCACTGGGTCCTACATTTCCCACAGTTTAACCAAGAGCATCATTTCATTTGACCCTCCCTGTCTGTTGAAAGCCCATGTCTTTCAAATGTAATGCTCCCAGTTTTAATTGGAGGCTCTCTGTTATAAATTTGTAATCTCAAAGTCAAAGCCAAGATTATCCCGATGACATCACTGTGACACCATCAGGGTTATTTTCTCACACTTTAGGAAGCTCCTCCGCAGAAGTAATTACAGAAACTTTTTTCACACGCTGAGTCATACTTTTACTCATATATGCAAAATCAGTGAAGTGCCCCTTTAATTGTATCTGCGTGACTTCCTGTTTAGCTGTGAATCCGAGAGGTCACGTTGCCTGTGTTTAATGCGGTCTGTGTGTGTGTTGCGGGGTGACACTCTCCACTGGAAGGATGCCACTCTCAGTTTTGCCCTTTCTCTGCCCCCCTTTAGCTATTTTGAAAGATGTAGCTCTGTGTAGTTTGGCAGTATAGGCAAAATGGAAAATGGAGCTGTGAACTTCATGGTTGTAGTGAGGATTTTAACAGCATTGTCAACTACTGCAATGTCCTCAGCACAGAAAATAAGCAGTTCCGTTCCTTTTTTCTTATGCATAGTTCAAAGCAAAGATGAATGGAACATATTTGTCGGTGTGGATGTTCACAGACTGTAATATTTTTCTTGATGATTTGTGTTCAAAACTAAAAAAGTGTAATGTAGCTTTGGCTACTTTGCACACATCATGAGCAGCTGTAATACTTTCTTCCTTCTACTGTGAGGATTTGGATGAGTTCAGGAACACAATTTACCTCTGGATCATTCAAGGCCAAATCCCCACCGCGGACCAAAGAAGCTTATTGTAACCTGGCTTGCTGCTTCAGCTGTTAAGCCCACATCCCCAAACCCTGAGCTACTTGTCCTGCTCTGTCCTGTGCAGAGGACAGAAAGCTGCTGCTAATGATCTTGTAGTCATTCATTCATTAAGTCCTGTTCTGGTGCATGAGTAGACCAGCCTTGTGCCGCGGTTTATTTAGAATCAGAAGTAATTCTGCACTTATAATGAAGTCTGGTGTGGCCTCTAACCTGCAGAAAAA